AAGTAGTCAGATATCTAATTTTATGACTACCACTCATGAAACTTATCCTACCGTTCCTCCAGCTCCAAGACATATCAATTTTTCGTCTTCGATTATGTTTTATGAGCTGTCTTGAGCGGTTTCTGAAAATTTCCTTGAGTCAGCATGAGATTTGATCGAGATATAAGGATTTTAATTTTTGCTAGTAACAGGCGAAAAACCGGTTTTTCACAACAATCCCTCTGGCGAAGTTATATTCATTTCTACACAAAAACAAATGTTGCTACTATGTTCAGTGTAGTCGATTACCTATAGTCCATGGCATTTTAAGATTCTCAGAGATGTCTGCTCGGAGATAGACACGTGCTCGGGGAAAGCGAGCTCTGCCCGAACGACGATAGCTAGAGAGCCAGGACCTACATAATTTTATAGAGTAACGTCCGAACTATTTACGCATGCAAAAGAATTACTAACATTGTATGTTAGTTTGATCCTCTGAAAACCCGATCTCTGGAATGTTTTCAAAAGTTGCCTCCGCTTGCGAAAAGTTCTGCTCAAGTCTTTGCTATTGAACAGCGAAAATTACAGGTCTCTATCTCATTCCTATCAAAATTTATTCAAAAAGCAACCAGCGGTCGGACCATTTGGATAGTAGTAAACTAATTTGATCAACAGAATATGATTGACGAAAATTGATATGTCTTGGAGCTGGAGGAACGGTAGGATAAGTTTCATGAGTGGTAGTCATAAAATTAGATATCTGACTACTTGACATTTATATTGTAAATATACAGGTAAATGTTTCGCACATTCGATGATATTCAATATACATTTACTTAGTTAAATTACAAAATGATACGCTCGACTGATAACTAAATGGCGCATCAGTGCTAGGAAAAATGGAACGTTATTTTTATTTGAGAATCATATCTCGTTTTGGTGAATATTGTGTACAGTAATTAGTCATTATGAAAACAGCAAATTGGAATTGATAACTTACGCTTTTAAAAGTTTAACAAAAAAATCAAAACTTTGTGCAAACCAAGAAAGAATTTGCAGATTACTCACAGTACACTGTAAAAAGAAAAAATGTGTAGTGAGACACTTAAAGTTAATGTCAAATTGGAATTGAGTGACCAACTAGCTTCACATACTGAGACCAATGAAATGACCTGGTGACTCGATAATTAAAAGCAGTTTCGAAATTATAATTTCGAAACTGATCAAACATCATTTTTCTATTTCGTTTTCTATGCTGAATAAGAAAAAATATTTTGACTTTTGAATAGTTTTCGGGGACTCAGATAATAAGCTCTTTATGAACTTGAATAATTTTTCGACTTTTTAAGCCTTTCAAGTGTTTTCAGTTTCACCTTCAAAAGTTTTCTTTAAAAATTAAAGATATGTTTTCTTATTCAGCTCGAAATACTCTATCCAATGATGTATAATAAGGTCAAAAAACTTTTTATGCAAGTTTGCATTGTGCGCGCCTGGCTTAAAAAAGCCAGAATTAAAAGTATTGTGCTTTATTAAAGACATACTTTTGGTAATATTATGCAAATGTGAGTTAGAGACTATGTTATTTCCTTAAATCTGCAATATATGACTGAACAATTTTTATATAAAATAGATGTTTTTTCTCTTTTGATACTGGATCAACTTCTATTTCTTCTTTTTCCACCGTAAATCGAATACCTGGTCTCAATAAAACTTCTTCTTCATCTTTATAATAGGATATCTCTGATATATCAACACCGTGCTCACCCGTATAAGAATTTCTGATTTCTATTATGTGTAAATAATTTTTAACAAATGCTTCAGCTACTTGGCGATTTCTACTTAATGAAAGTGCATTAAGTACATCAACGAAAACATCACGCGATTTTTACCTATATGCGTTTCACCCTTTGTATTCAGTTTTTTGTTCTCTAGTTTATGTAGTCTAGCTTAATCGCCTCCCTTCAGCCAAACACGGAGGTATTTATAATACATCTCCTTGTTGAAACAAATGTGGGCCATTTCCAATGACCATGGCCGACAGCTCGCTGATACTTTTGTAACAAAGTATCCGATAGGCTTCCTCCTCTATATACTAATATAGTATCATTCAAATGCTTTTTTAATTTCACTTCAAACAATTTGTCAACGAACTGACTAATCGACGATTTGGATGCCGTACGTTTTGTGCCGTGACCCGTATAATTATACAATAAATAACAGAATGGTCCTAATGTGTGAAATTTTGTTCGATCATCACTACCTAATGCTTTATTAACACTTCGAAATAAAAACGCGTCTTTCGTGTATAATTTTGCACAACACAACAATAATTCGTCTATTCCTTTACAATTTTTGTATTTACTTAATTCATTCACCATCTCTTCCGCTTCATCCTCTTTTCCTTCGTTTCTCCCTTCTTCTAAAATACCATCGATCGTAGCCTGTACTATACTATGAATCGAATCTATTTTCAATTTCCCACGTGTAAAATTTATAAACCAATCGGTTATATATTTTGAGCCATGATACATTGTATCTTCATCAAGTGAACGTAATAACGGTGACTGTTCACAAAACATATTAGTTCTTACAGATTTCTTGCATTCATCCAAAGTTAAACATCGTTTAACTGGTCTCTGTTTTGAATTGTCATTCACATTCACTTGAACATTCTCTTTTAAATCAACGATATAATTTGAATTAATCTTAATTTGATTTTTGTTTGAATTAAATGCATATTCAATTAGATCACTACAATCACTTGAATAGGATGTCCATACAGGTGTTTCTGTTTCTAACCAAGGATTCTCATTTGATTGCCAATACCAAACTACGGTCGGAATTCCATTACTTTCCTCGACCATTATTTTACCATTCTTTTATCTTCATACACATGTATAACTTATGCATAGCATTCAAATTTTAGGAAAATTATTGTAGAAGGCGGTCAATGACACAAACATGATAAACGTATTCAAATGACGCATACAAATAAATTATTCAGGGACCCAAACACTCATTTACTAATAAAAATAGATTTCATATTTTCATAATAGTAATCATGTCTCAATGTCTATTTCTTTTTCTTTCTCTTTATCTGAGCACATGATACATTACCATGAGCGAAACGCCTTGTATAAAATATTCTATTCATCAAATTTTTTTCTCTTTTCTACGATTGCTATTATTAAAAATGCATAAAAGAAATCATAAAGCATAACAAAATATACTAATGTTCTCAGAGCCACAATTTAAATTATAGCAGTTAACGAATTCATAATGAAGAGCATATCTCATCATAACGGTCAACATTTATTTGTGTACCAATATTAGAATTATTCTCGTTGTACGTTCATCAGAATCCTATTTGTCCTAGATTGAGATCAAATATAGCTCCCATGTTGCTATTATAAATTAATATTGGAATGCTCTGTGACTAATGCATAAATCGTTTCGCGTTTAGATTTATTTTTATTTCAACGAGAAGCGGAAGTCGCCTAGGAACCTTTAGAATGCTGGCCATTCCGATAATTAAGAGACCTACAATACCAACATCTAATATCGACTCTAATTGCAGTAAATAATGTAAAAGCGAATGAAAAGTTAAGAAGTATAGACGAATCTGTGATCGGAAGATACAGACAACAGTATACCCTGCAGTAAAAGCGATGTCTTGTAAATGTATAACTCAAGAGACAATTACCGTGTAATCAGGTAAAAATACTGATGGAATGAAGAGCTGTTCAGCTGCAATACGCTGTTTTAACCTCAATATCATTGGACATGTCATACAATGTGTTCAGCCCGTAAGTAGCCACCCAAAAGCTTTTAATCAGTTGGAGGGGTTCCCTTGTAAGATATCTTAAAGAAGTGTCTAACATTCTTCCTGGTGATCGTAGTATGGCATCATTCGAAAGATGATGCACTTATGAACAAGAAAATTAAAGAAAGGTATTAAGAAATTGTTCTAATTTTCCATTAATATATCACGAAATAAATGGAAATTATTAAATAGACAGAAAAGTTGAATTTAATTAAACGTACAGGACTATACTTTCATCGAAAAGTTAATTTTAGCCGAGTATAAACTCGAGGCACAATGATCAGATTTCCGGAAAAACCAACGGACAATTAGGACAGATGAGACAAGAACAAAAAAGCCTACGATGGAACCGAGGTTCACGAGAAATAACCGTAAAAAGTCATAAATGAGGATAAGAGTGAGTCTGTAAAAATGGAAATTTCGATTCGTAATTCTGTTGGGAATACCTAAATCAAGCTTCAGCTTTATTAAGAAGTGCTGTAAATTTTCAATTAACGACAACAACAGATCAGTTGAAACACAATAATCTTCGATTCATTGAAGCAATAATCTTCGTTCACAAATGATGTTAAAGCAGAAGAAATTATACAGAAACATTCAGAGCAACGAAAAACAAATCAGATTCTGAAAACTGTTGGCGTCCTTCCCAAGGGAATCAGTAATGAGTCATGGTTAAAAAAAATAATATTCTCAAACAGTTCAGATATTTAGATGTTACTCAACAAATTAGATTATAGTAAAACATATTTTATATATATCGTTATTTATTTAAAGAAGATTAAACTATAGAAAATACTTTCCCTCCTAAGTATTAAACGTGTGTCAATAAACACATGCACAACAAAAAACGAAAATGTGGATGGTATTCATGAAGATAAAAAAAGAAAGAGAAGAACCGAAGCATGAATAAAACATATTATCATTACAATCAAAAAGAAACTAAAAGAAAGTAGAACGGCAAGAAAAATGCGAAACAATATAATAATTACATTGAACTCAATGTGAATTATTAGCGAACATCTGAATTGGAAACTTATTCAATTCAAACATATATCCATCACTATTATGGGACATCTTACTATTGGCTTTACAACTGTAGAAGATTTACAACAATTTAGAAACGAAATAGACCCTAGCTATTTTGAAACATTTTGCTCGTAAAATAAAAAGGAACAGATTGTTTCAGACTAGGAATCTGGATCCCGCCTTCTGGACGATAGAGCCCTGCAGATTACGACTTTTTGACAACCTAAACCTAACCTAACCTAACCTATTAATGTTTTCCGTAACCTAATCTAGGTTAACCTAATACAACCTTTTGTAAATTTTTCCCGAAACGTGGTTTCAGAAGCCTAAACTTCAGCTTTGTTCTATATTGTTATTGCTTTTTATCTAAACACCGTCTGAAAGGTAAGCTTATACAAAATAAAACACATTTTACATGAATATAGAAATGACTCGGTTAAATCGATAAAATTCCACTCGGGCTACGCTTTATTACTCAAAGTGTTGGCTGTTTTAATGTGTTGTTCAGAATCAGTTTTTTTCGTTTGGGTTAAAAATAGGTTATCAATAGCGTAACCTACAAGCTAATCTATAAAAAATTTCATAACCTAAACCAAACCTAAAGAAATCGTAACCCAAACCTAACCTAATCTATTTTTTTTCAAGGTTTCTACCTACAGGGACTGGGATCTGAGTCAGGTCTCCTGAATGTTTCTTTTTCACTGTTGCCTTTTTTTCTCTCTCTGTTTGCAAGCTCACAGGTGAATCAGTAGAGCGATTTTTTTCTGCCTTTCGAAACGTAGAAACGTGCTATGTGCTCTCCGACAGCACACAAACAGGTCAATAACGAGTGAAAGGGTGTACACCCCTGCTGCTTCTCATATCTTTTGCTCTCTTCTGCTCATAATCTTTCATCATGTGTTATTGATTTTTTCGCTTATTTACGAAAACTTATAGTCTTGGTTTTTTTCCTCTCGGCAAGTACGATCATGGGAAGACGATTGTTCAAGGTATAAGACAAATAATCCTCTGTTCAAGGTAAAAAAAGGCCTCTTTTATTTTTACTGCATTGCATGAGCATGAATTGCATTTACTCGATAAAACTAAGAAGACAAATTCGAATAAGCTACGGAGAAACTCCACAGTTTTTTTGTGAGTGATTCTGCATTTGATGCCAGTTTCAAAAACTTCCAGTTTGTCAATCCACTCCTTGAAAATCTAAGATAGTTTGATCTGAAGTATTTACGAGAATAACCGCTTCAAAAGATCCAAGTATTTGAACAAAGGCAGAATTATTACATTTATCCGCAAACCAGATAAAACATTCATATAGCATTCACAGCATCATGTTTCTGGATTAGGTCATGAACGTACAAGAAAGTATTATACAAATCATAGTGAAAGAAATATACTGCTATGATGAGTGTTCAACTTATTTATATCCGTGTAATACCTGTTTTAGGCTAGGATGCGTGTATTTCCACCAACATGATGCAGATAATTCTCTCGGATCACAATCACAAATACGTAACATAATACGATAACAAATAATATCCACCGTGATATATTCTTTAAGATTGCTAGCTGGTATAACCTATTCTAATTCATCATTACTACGTTTTTATCAATTTTATACAAACTTTATTTATTCTCTAATATCGTTTCTGGTTTTATTCAAATCAAACGTGGATTAACACAATGAATCACGTATGGATTTCGACGACATTGGAACATTAACTGATAATATTTCTATTCTCGTTGTTGGTTTTGTAAAAACTTCTTAGGACTTGTCCGTTTTCCGAAGGAAAAGGAAGTTTAAAGTATAAAGTGATGATGTTAATTCTATTGTTAACAGTTTTCCTATTTATTGCACACTGATGAATGCCCTGTTTTTTTCTTTATTACAGAATTGTCTATCAGTCGTTTTATCAGATGGTTGAACCATTTTAGAAAAAATATAATTTAGGCTCCATACAAAAAATTTCCTATTATTATCAACAATCACAACAACCGTATCTAAAAAACAATTGCGAAGAGAAAAAAAATAATGATATGCCTGGTAATACATAAAGAATAAGTTTAAAACAAAGAATATTTTTATAAATGTATTCCATATGAACAAAAAAGAAACTGTTAATTAGAAGTTTCTATAGCGCGCTGTTATTCCCGATAGCACCCTTGAAGCATCGAAACATTGACCTACGAATGTGCAGCTTAAAATTTGATATCTGTTTCTCTTCCAGAAAAATTCAATAAGTTTTGGTTGCTGCCGCTGTTGAATATATCGCCATTACAACGACTCTGTTATTGACTACCGGCTTAAAAATGGTCACAATCGGTATTAAAGATCCAGGCAAACTTCAATGTATTTATAGTTGATGATTAATAATGACTGGTTTAGCACAGTAAGTTCGTAAAATTTTGTCTTCACACTTTTATTCTCTTCTTATCATCATACTGTCACACCATCATCGTTTTTTATTTGATGCAGTGTTAGTTTTTCCGAACTTTCAAATAAACATTTTTAAATTTAGATTTGCATTTGGAAACTTCAGGGCCTGCAAAGGCTACAACGCGTACAGCATCCCTTCTGGTATTTGGATGCGTTCTACAGTTTAATGAGCCAAGCCACAATATCCTTCTTGTATGGGAGCACACAAAAAATGCTCAAAGCTCAATTTCGAAAATTGTTTCTCGTGTATTTTGCTGCGTAATGATAAAATATTTTGCAAAAAGCTTGTCAGACATATTGCAAAAACGATTCATAGTGGAAAAACGCTTTTCGCGCAAAAACTGTATGCAATGACTAACTGCCGGAGTAGGGGCTGTTGCCGTTGTCTGATTTCCAACATTATCTTAGATATGTTTTGAGTATTTTATTTTCTTCAAAATCTTCCAATAACTCTAAAAAGCAGACAAAGTTACCTCCTGTAGTAGTACATTTTTGTAGCAAGACTTTGACTCCGTCATGCTTCCTTAATCCAGACACTTTCACTAAAGTTTCTACTGCAGTTGAAAGCCCTTTCTGAATAACCGACTTTTAGCCGAATCGGTCCAGTGCTTCATGTCTGAAACCAAATGTTAGATACAAAAATTAATCTGCATCTAACTCTGCATCTAAGAATAAGTTAAGGCTTTTCGTGATGCAGAAATTTTTACTTTTATTTTGAAAAAAACGAAAACTAAGTAGCTTTGAAATGCTAATCGTTTATGATGAATTATGTTGTGTTTGTGGGTTGATTCGACGACGACACCGCTTCATAATCAGTGTAGTGACCCATCCAGAAATAATTGTCAGACCACCACAGAGTCCAATGAGAGATGTCACGATGTTGATTACATTGCGGCGTTCAATGTATGAATAGCTGCACGATGACAATGCACATTGAGCAAAATAGTCCGTGTATGATATGTTTTTTGAGTAATCCTCCAACATGAGATCTTGTAAAATGAACTCGATGGTGGAATTGGTGTCGAAACGGCTCGAAACGGATGAGTTCAGTGCTTTGAATCTACCATTCAAATCAATGCATTGTTGACTATAGAAGCATTGAAATGTTGACTGAAGAAGAGCCTCTAGTGGATAGCAACCTACCATCATACCTCTCGATGGCTGGGTGCACTGCGATGACACTCCACAGTTGCATCCTTGGTAATCAAGCGGCGCTGTTTCCAGATACGAAAACTGCTCCGCCGTATTCACATCGTTGAATTTCCAGTTGGAGGCATACATACTCATCAACATGTTGGCTCCTGTCATCTCACGAATAAGAGCAAGTGTACTAACAAATGATGTAGATGTTCGTAGCAGATATTCACTGATAGTTTTTTGGATTCGTTTGTCTAACAACGCGGCTGGTATGAGTTGAGCATCGATATAATCGGTGGCAGTAAATTGCGAAAGAGCATTAGTAAGTGTATTTCGAGAAAGTTGACAAAGTGAAATCAATAATTGGAACTGG